GGGGAGAGGGGAGAGCAGCCTAGCGCGGCGGGGAGCCGCCCGCCCGAAAAGGAGGAAAGGACCCAGAGACGCCGATTCTGCAGCAAGGACAAGAGCGACATAGACGCAAACAGAGTGGAACACGGTCGAGGAGACCCAGAAGAAAGCTGAGACCTGCGGAAACTCCGGGGTGGTTGGAGAAGGCCGGAGACACAGAGGGTCCGGAGAGGGGAGAGCAGCCTAGCGCGGCGGGGAGCCGCCCGCCCGAAAAGGAGGAAAGGACCCAGAGACGCCGATTCTGCAGCAAGGACAAGAGCGACATAGACGCAAACAGAGTGGAACACGGTCGAGGAGACCCAGAAGAAAGCTGAGACCTGCGGAAACTCCGGGGTGGTTGGAGAAGGCCGGAGACACAGAGGGTCCGGAGACCTGGAGCCAGCGGGGCGGGCGGAGTGCCGGGGCGAAGGCAGGGTCTGACTCTCGGAACCGGCCCAGCCTGGCCGGGAACAGGAAGCTGAGCCCCAGAGGCTCGGAGAGGGGGGAGGACACGAACCTCCTCGGGCTCCGGGGAGGCCTGACCTCCACTCACACCGGCGGGTTTGCCAGCGAACCCGTTCGGGGGCACTGAGCCTTTGAGAAGCTGGTGACAGCTACGGGACTCTCCAGAGAGCGAGGCACAGATGCGCGCTATCCCGCCTCAGGGGGCGCAGGCTCGAGTAAAACGCCCACCCGCCCCCACTTCTGCCTCCCGCGGCCTCTTCCTGAGGCCGGCGAGACAAACTGCGTCCCCATCCAGGTGGGACCCTCAAGGATCAGGGTGGGAGACCCTCAAAGCAGCGCCATGGAGCCCACGGCGGTGACAGCCCGCTTTGCACGGCGGGAAAAGCAGCGCATGAACAGGCCAGAGTCTGCTGCAGACACACGGCAGGCTCAGGGCCGAGTTCCTGCCCCCCCTTCTTCTCCGAACCCCCAAATCTATCTAAATGGGGTCTGGAGGTCCGGCTTGGACACGGTTCAGTTAGCAGATGAAACGGCCGCCAATTATTTAAAAAACAAAATACATGGATTCCATTCTCCCCGAAAGTGAAGGGAAGCTTGGGAGAGCGAATTCGGCCCCGAAGGGTGAGGGCCGG